AAAGGTGGAAGTGAAGTCAAGGAAACAGACAAAAGCAGCCAGGCTGGAGGCAAAGAGAAGACCAAACGCACAGGAAAACACAGAGAGAAGCACAAAGTTAAAGACAAGCAGAGACAGAAGGAAAAAGAAAAACTGCAGGGAAAAACAAGCATGAGCACGGAGACGGATAAGTAGAAAGAAATGAAAGCAAGGACTGAAACAACAACAAAGCTAAGCATAAATATAAACATACACACGAAAATCCAGACACAGAAAAGTATGAAGAAAAAGCCAAACTCGAAGGCAACGGTCCAGCCTATGAAGATTGGCGCAGGCAAACACAAACCTAAAAGAGTCTGAGGACGGGAAGACACGAGCATGCGCAACAACATGCCCGTGAGAATGAAATATGCACGAAGGCATCAAAAATGCAAGAATAAGGAAGAAGACGACGAGAAAGACGAAGAGGGTAAACAAAACAGGAGCGGGTAGAGAAGGACGAACACGACACAGGAGAGGGAAAGCAAATACAAGCATGAACACAAACATAGAGCCAAACTCTAACATGCAGCCAAGCGTATAACAACACGAAGAGAAACACAAAGATGAAGGTACACGGAAGAAAAAGTAACAAATTGACGAACCCTCATGACTATGAAAACATCAATGCAAAGGGCCGAAGAAGTTACAAGAAACATAAGTAATGTATCTATGCAAATTCACAGAAAGCGACAGGAGCCAATTACAAGAACCCCTGCGCTCCCATTTTTGTTTGCACAAGGGGCCTCGTAGTAATGACGGCAGCACTGTTTGAGGTTGTTGCGGCTTATCTGAGGGCTCGTTCTTTCCACGAGTCCTCCAGTATACCAGCAGGCTGCTATTTTCTTTGTTTTCGGTTGGTTTTCTTGAATTCTGCTAGTGCCATGCGCTCGCTCATTTTCTGCATTATGTTGTCGCCTGCCTGCTTTCATTCTTGTTCGGTGCGTGCACGTACATGTAGGTGAGACCATTCGATTATTTGAATTCGGATTAGTACACCTATACATTCATGGGCAGCTGTATGTTAGATAGACGCATGTATTCTTGTTTCTGTCTTTACGTGTATGTTTGCGCGTACACGAATGTGCATAATGCGCACGATGTAAGTGAATGCGTATTTACTATTTGTACATACGGATGCTTACGTACGCACGAATGAACGGATAAATGTGTAGGTGTACATGCATGTAATCTTGTGAGCATGGCCAAAACATGTATGTATGCGAATTTGCGGGAAACTGCAAAGGTAAGAAGGGCGTGTTCATTTGTTAATATGTGCAGGTACAAAAGACTACTCAAACGAAGTGAACAGTACGCGGATGACCAATGTCGCGTATGTGTGCATGCGCGGATGAACGAATACATAGAAGGTATTAAGTGGAGGAGTATGCAGACAATGCGCGTGGAACAAGACTATACATAATGTGTATGTATTTACGCGCATGGCATTGTGTTTACACACTCACAATGCCATGCACTTCGTGCATTCCTGCAAACAAGTACATATCAAAGGTGTACACACTCTTTTATGAATTTGTCTATATATTTGATTAACGGTCCCCTATTGTATGCGCTCCTGCGTGTACTTGCTGAAAAAGCTTCGGCATTTCCTGCATCAGATGCAGATGCACATGAATGTATATCTGCACACGCGCACTGTACGCAGCTGCGCAGATGGAGTGTATTTACATACACGGTGTGTGTTTGTGTACATGTGCGTGCATATGTTTGTACTCTACAGCAGCACGCACGTGTGCATTTGCCCGCAATATAAATACCTAAATTATGCACGTTTGTGAAAACGATGTACGTGCGTGTATGCTATGTATGAACAGCTACCTGAAGCCAAGTATATGTAGGTGGAGCTTTATGTGCGTGGGAAAGTGCAGTAATGCTTATTCGTACCTTTTAACCTGCGCACAAATATACAGAAAATTGCTTATGCATATTACACATGCGTCTGTCATACATGCATATATGTTTCTGTGCACAGATATACAAATCACTTACAAAACGTGAATGTACACATTTGTTCATGCGTGTGTATATTTTTGTAGTTGGATGTGCAAGTATTCATGAGCTTGCGTGCGTACATATTAGCATGCATGCATGTTTATTTACATAATACATACTGTACACCGTGTGTCTATGTGTGCGTTTACGCATTTTATGTATGCTTGTTTATGCGCATGTACGAAAATCTGCAAGTACGTATTCATGTACACATGCATTCATGCGTGTATGAGAATATACGTGTGCATGTAATTCCATGGGTGTCTACATGTATGTGTACGTGCATGAATATGCTTCCGCATGCGTTTACATGGTCGCGCTCATGTATCCGTATGCCAGCAAGTACATGTTGATTTGAATATGGACGAATTCTATTTTTGGCTGAATCACAGGCCTGTCTTTTGTGTCGGTACGTAAACAAAACAAATTATGCGGCGGCAGCAGCATCAACAGTAGCTTCTGCATCAGCCGCTTTTCTGCGGCTTCAAAAGTATAATATACTTTCCCTGCCAGCCCTTGAAGCACGTGCTGCTGCTGCCGCCGCAACAGCCGCAGCTCCAGCATTGCTTCCAGAAACAGCGGCAGAGCTTCTACAATAGAAGCTGCTGCGGCAGCAGCTTTTTTTGTTACACAACTTTTGCTGCTTGACTTTTCGCTGCTGAGATTTTTTCTTCAAGATAAACAAATGAACAGGCAAGAGTATTGAAGAGCTGAGTGCCTAAATCAATGGGTTTGCAGAAAATTAGCATTTGTAGAAAGGACAATCAATTTGGAATTGGGGCAGCAAATGCATCATAATTTCCAACTCTCCATATTAATGAAATAGCAGGCATTCAAAAATCTGTCATGAGTGGGCGAGTAGTGTGTAGACGGGCTGCGTGTTCATGGAAATGTGCACACGTACACAGTACATGAAGAAAAACCTAACATATACATAAACACCAGCGAATTCATGCGCAGCTAAAGAAGGCTTCATCTGTATGCGGGAAAGCGAGATCAACTCGTAGAACGAACAACCACAAAAGAGAGCAGCAAGGTTAAAATGCATGGAGAATAAAGAGTTGAAAGGAGGTAATACGCGAAACAAACATACGAAATTGGCACTGGGAGCCCAGAGAAATGAGGTGGAAGGATTCAAAGCAGAAGAGGGAATCGACATCTGAAGTGAAATAGACTTTGCCTGCATGGGTTTATATGAAGTGGAGATTCTGCAAAAAGATTCCGCTGTCTAAGATAAAATCTATGTACGAAGCGGGGATCCTTACAAAGAGTAACTTGTAGATAACAGAGGAGTTAAACCTGAGATAACCTTTGCCTGGGCACGTTTAAGGCTAAATTTTTTGCAGGTTGTTACTGGTTTCAGTAGAAAGAGTTTGTTTTGCAGCATCAGGCCTTGCTTTATTTTCCTTTGACGCTGCAATTAAAGTTTGCAGCTCCAACAAACTCCTTCCTTCTGGACTCCCTTATGACATCTTCGGAACGGGTAAGGCCTCAGGCTAGTATTTTTTATGCTCTAAGGCTTCAGCGCCCGGAAATCCTCAAACAACAATAGGCGCACCTGCAGGGTACGGTGCGCCAGCCACAGTCCAAGTGCCGCTTGCCGAGCGACATAAGTGGAATAGCCGGCGGCTGTCTAGACTGCTGAAAGTGATTTACGCAACAAAGCACTTCTGTATCCAGGGCTACTTCCTCTATTTACGGCCTGCAGGAATTTCCGGTGTGGACAGCCACATCTAGGCACAGGCCTTACACATAAGTGAAGACGCCTTAATCCGTGCTTTGGATGCTTTTGCCCAGCCCTATGTAGAAGCTGAAGCTAGAGTTCGCAACTTCAGGAAGTTTCGTAAGGTGAGCTTCAACAGCAGGGCGATGAAGCTACTGTGTTCTCTCGTAGTCCTGGAGATAGCGCCAGAAGCCACAGATGTGGAAAGCAAGTAAGCAGCGGTTCCCAACTAAGCCTCAAAGGTGACCCCTACCTCTGATAACGCAGATACCACGAATTCGCCTCTTCTGGAAGAACCGTCTTGGCCGTGTTGAATTAGTGTGTCTTGTGAACTTTTGAAGGGCCCTTTAAGGAACCGGGAGGACCATGCAGACAGCCTAATTAACAGGTAGTGACACCGGAGTTACTTGCTTTCAAAGAGTTACTAAGGAGCAGATACAGTGAAGCATCAATTAGTCGGCTCAGGTACGCCGGCAGCAAGGAATACCAGACCGAGATATATTAAGAACCCTGCAACTTGGCGTCTAGCCATTAAGACTCATCACACGGCTCATGAGCGTTACTATTGCTGCAGAAAACAAAATAAATAAACCAAAATTTTGAATTTTATGCCATAAACCCGAAGCTCTGGCGTGTAACATGTAAACCCTTAGCTGTAAACGGTGGCGCCACCCCTCATTGAACACAGCCCCATAACCCCACTGCGCTTAGTTGCCCTTTTGATTCGTATGCGGAATACTTCTCCGGCGGTTTTTATTTTCGAGTTCCAAACATATAGCGCTAAACCCTTAGCGCCAAATCTTAAACTGTAGGCACTGATCGCTTTGGTGTGTGGGGTCCCTATGCAGTCTGCAGGGAACCCCCGCCTTTGTCTTCTTCAATTCGCCCAGGCTAATTCCCTGCATTTCCTTTTCCTCTAATTTCCGTTTTTCATTGCGCATGCTTGCGCTGCCCTGCTACAATTCAGTAGCGCGTGGGCTCGCCGTTGGCTTCAAAAACACTTAGGGGGTAACAATTGCTGGTTTAGAGCAGCCGCGAAGCACAGCCCGAAGCCCCAGACCCTAGACCACAGCTTAGGCTGTAGGGTCTAGGTCTTGGGTCCAGGGTGTAGAATCTGGTTAACACGACATCCTGGCGATGCTTGTGAAGCCACTAGCCCCGCCTGGTGGCAACAGCAGCACGAGCAACAGCATCGACAGGAGAAGCAACCGCCCTTGACCTTCACAAAGCAACTTCCCCAGCTGCAATGCAGCCGCCGAACGTGCCGCCGCAGCAGCAGCTGCACCAGCAACAGCAGCCCGTGATGTGTGCGGGGGCTCCCTACGGGCAACCCTCCGCGCCTCATCAGCAACAGCTGCCACCACAGCAGTTACCCCAACAGCATCAGCAGTCAATGCCGCCCCAGCAGCAGCAGCAGCAGCAGCCTCCGGCTCCTGCTCCGAGCCCACCGCCTGGTTTTCCCGCTGCAGCGACACCTCGGTTTCTGTTTAATTTAAGTGCTGCTGCTTTCACGCTGCATACACAAACCCAGAGAGGCCCTCCCCCGACTCCGCAACAGTTGCAGCAGCTGATTTATCCGCCAGAGCCAGTTATGTTGTGTGTGTTGGGCTCGTTTACACGGAACAAAACAGTGTGAGACACGATATCTAAAGATATGACACATGGAGATAACCAATGCCAGCTGCTAGCAAGCGGTCAGCAGCAGCTGCTCAGCCATCATAAACCACAGCGGGATCACCACCAATACTGGCTCCAACAGCAACAAAAACTGCGGCAGAAGCCATCACAGGAAGCGCAGCAGCAGCAAAATCAGCAGGAGCAAATGTGTGTTTCTGCTTCTCAGGCTGCAGGTGACGGACGGCCAGCTTTTCTGTCGAATCGCTTCAGCGCAGCCGCCGCCGCTTCAGCAGGAGCAGCAGCAGCAGCAACCAGACAGCGCACAGGCAGCAGAGGCGCGAATGTCTCTAGCTGCGAATCAGCTCAGGGGCCGTTTACTGCTGTTTGAACGACTTAGCTTGGCTCTTACTCCAAAGCGAGTCTATATGCCAGTGCTTTCACTGCTGGCTGCCGCGTGGCTCACCTCTTTGCTCTCACGCCTGTTTCTTCTGTATTTACTGGCGGTTCTTCAGCTGTTCACACTTCTTTTTTTGTCATGCCATTCCCGTTTCGCATGCCTTGTCCGCTTCTTTTTGTGCATACACATATCTCCCTCTTCTTTCCTGAAGTGACGTATACTAATAGCCCGTAATCTGCTTTCATCGTATTCGTGTGCTTGCATTCCCTGTCAGTGGCCTGTTTGTCTTTAGCTGCATTTTTCCGCTTTTCTGCACATGCACTGTGTCTGCAGAAACGTTTTTCTATTTCTAATTTTTGTGGCTCATTGATTATCTGCGTGCATTTCTGCACTACATATGCACCACAAGTTTGATTGCGGCACTGGCCCCGTGCGAAAAGTGTACGTTTGTCAAGATTTTTGCACGCACAAACTTGTACTCATTTATACCTGTAGTTTTATTTACATTCATTTTATATATTTGTACTTAGGGGGAAATCTGTTATCCTGGCACGCGCCTTCCGTCCTTTAGAGGGAGACTTTTCCCACCTCGTGCCGCAGCTACTCACTTCCTGCCCTGAAGTGAGCTACTGCTGCTGCTTTTGCAGTTGTTGCTTCCACTGTTGCTGCCGATGCCGATACGCATCAAGGTCATGATGCTGGTGCTGCTGCCTAATTTGCTACTGGTGTTTCAGCCACTGTTGTTGAGGATGTAGTTGCTGCTGCTATTGCTTCTGCTTGCAGTGAAAATGGCGGTACTGTTGCAGCATGCACTGCTGATGCAACGGTGCCCTGCCTGTGTGCGAATGCCGTTGTCTATGCTTTTGCTGCTCCTGCTGTTGTTCTTGTTCCTACTCCGGCCGTTACTACTGCTCCTCTTAATGTTTTTGGCTTTCCTGGTGCTTCTGTTGCTTTCGGTTCCGGTGCTGTTGCTGGTGTCTCTTCGTAGGTTGCACTTCCTGCTTTCCCCCCGCAGTCTTACGCACAGAATCAAGGAGACCGACAGCAACAGCAGCAGCAACAGCAGCAACAGCAGCAGCAACAGCAACCGCAACAATTGCAGCATGGGCAGATGCCGCAACATTCTATGCCATATGGGGCCCCGCAGCAATCGCTGCAGCAACAACAGCAGCAGCCACCGTATCTGCAACAGCAGCAGCCACAGCCGTACGGCCAGCATATACCGTACGCTCAACAGGAGCAGCTACTGCACCCGCAGCAGCAGCAGCCGCCATATGGACAACAGCAACAGTCATACGGGCAAGCACCGCCGCCACAACAGCAGCAGCAGCAGCAGCAGCAGCCCATGAATCCCTATTTGCCGCCGCAACAACAGCAGCAGCGACAGTTGCCACCCCAGCAGCAGCCTCAACAACATCAGCAGGTGTATGGACCGCCACCTACAGCTTACCAGCAGCCCTTGCAGCAACAACAGCAGCAGGGAGAGGGAGACACGTACGGCCCGGTACGTGGAGCGACACACGGCACTGTCCAAAGGGGTGAGCTGGTACTGCTTTTGTTGCTGCTACTGGTTGCGCGCTTGTTGCTGCTGCTACTGAAGTTACTGCTGCTATTGATGCTGCTGAAGGGGCGGTCCCCGTAGTTTGTCTTTTGGAGGTTTTGCGTTTGGCGGTGTAAATTTGTTACTGCCCGTGAATGTGCTTTTGCATACTATTTGCCTGCCCGCATTTATATTTGCTCCCTTAATTTTCGTATTTTAGCTTTGCCTCTGTTTCTATGTTGTGTCTTCTGCAGCCCTGCCGTATGGCCAGCCTGCCACTGCTGCAAGTGTTGCTGCTGCGGGTCGTGCGCCTGGTGATGCATTCGTGGCTATCAAGGATCTCTCTGCGTATATCACGAGATGGACTATACGGGGGAGAGTAGATGCAAAGTAAAAGCTGTGCTTTTACCACTGCTTTGCGGCCTCCTCTCTTTCGTTTTAAATGCCGTTTGATTCTCTCCCGCGTTGCGCGTTTTCCTGCTTCCGTTATTTTTTGCAGGTTTTTTTCTCTTGCATCTGTAGTGCTGTGTCGTTCGTGTACATTTTTGCTCTTGTGTGCCGTTTTGTTTGTTTTGCTCCATTTTCATAATGCGCTCTTGACGTTACTTTTTTGCACCATCTGGAAACGCTCTTTTCTGCGTCTATCGACGGATTATTCACTTAAGTTTCATGTTCATGTTTTAAATCCTCTTTGTATTTAAATTTTACTTAATTTTGGTCTGTACACAGAGGGGAATTGCGCTCTTTTACAAACGCAAGAGGCCCGGGGCAAGTGTTCAGCCTCGAGATCAGGGACAAAGATGTAAGTACTGTTATTTCTCCCGGTGCGACAGCAGTTGTTCCTTATACAGCTGTGCCTGCGTCTGTTGCCTTTGCCATGAAGACCGGGGTGCTGCTGCTGTGGTGGCGCCAGTGCTGCCGCGTAGAGAACCATTTGCTGCAGCAAAAATAGCTTTAGCGGAGCAGCAACAAGATCAACAGCGGATGAGGACGAACCTATGCACTTTGTGGACCTGTTGCGGCTGCTGTTGCAGGGTGTAATTAGGGCATCATTTTTTGGTGCTGCAGCAGAGCGGTTCTATGCGCAGCTGGAGGAGGGCAAAGTAAACATGGCATTTATTGACACTATTGCTGCAACCATGATTATTACTGCTGTTGCTGCTCCTCTCGTGCATAATGTTGCTCTACCTCGTTTTTTGCTGTTGAGGTAACTGTCAGTGCTATTTCAGTCGCTGTCACTGCCGCTACTTCTGTTGCCGTTCTTGCTGCTTTTGTTGCTCCTATTGCTGCTGCAGGTATATTCGTTCAAGGGTGGGCACGTGAAGCCGAAGAATGAGCGATTCAACAAAACGCCCCACCCATACGAACTGACATTCGATGAGAAAGCAGTAATAACCGAGATACAAGAAACACGAGATATACCTTTTGTTGCGTATGTCACTGTTGCTGCTGATGTGCTAGCTATGTTGATATTGCTGATGGTGTAGCTGTCTGTGGCCTTTCTAGTTTTGTATTGTACCAATGACGTTTCTGCTGCTGTTCTTTGGTGCTGCTACCCTTGCAGCGTAGTTATGTGTGTTTGCATTCGCTGGTTTCAGTACTCCTCTGGTAACCATAAAGTCTCTGGAGGCCGCGGAAGTTGGGTCCGTTGTTTCTGTCATTGGGGTTGTTCATGACTTCAAGGACGTACAAACCATCACACTCAGAGTCAGTGCTTCTGCAGCCGCTGCTATAGGCGTTGCTGTTGCGTTCACCGCTGCCAGTGGCATTGCTGTGTCTGCCGCACTCGCTGATGCCGATGCCTTTGATTGTAGGGATGCCACTACTGCTGCAGCCACATCCGGTGCTTCTTCCATTGTTTGAGATATGGCTCAGGCTTCGGGGCAGCAGAAGGAAAAGAGAGACATACACCTGGTAGATGAGGACGGTGTTTCTGTCTGCCTTACGCTATGGGGGCCCCGCGTTCATTGTCTAAGCCCTGAGCAGTTCGCCAGCAAGCCCATTGTTTTAGTCAGAAGTAATCAAATCTTGCACGCTTCTTTATAAATCCCATAAAAGTGCCTGCAGATGTGGCTCTCCAGCTGGCTAGCTAGTCGCTAGGAGTCTCTAGGTAGCCAGCCAGCAAAATGACTGTGCTGCCTATTTGGATGGAGATATGGAGCAGCCACTGCATGTCTGAAGACTGGGACAGTCCATAGTGTAGGCTTCAGGGTTAGAATTTGTGTTGCAGACGCGAAGGTGGGAGAATGGGGAGGCAAGAAGCTGGAGTGGCAAAGCAGCACAAGACTTGACACTGCTGTAGATACCCCTGAGGCAAAGAGACTTGCCCAGTGGTGGGCTCAGGTAAAGCTGATGCCCTAAAGTGGCTATAGATTTTAGCGTTTGGACTTAGATGCTGTAGTTGCAGGTGCGTCCGCCAGCAACTATAGCATCGCTGGTGGGTTCACCTGCCTGTGTTTCCTTGCCTTCCGTTGCTTTTTCTTTCATCACGTTATTTTATATGGACTGTTGTTTACTGCCCATATGCGCACAGCTTATCTGCTGTTGCTGTTGCTGCTTCTGCTGCAGACAGGCAGCAGCTGCAGCAGCTTCCCTGCTCTCGCGGGCGGCCTCGGCGGCCCTGGTAGAAATGAGCCACTCAAAACTTTAGACAGAATATCTCAAGAAGCAGCACAGGCAGACCCGGCGCTTTGTAAGTTGCTGTTGCTGTTTCTGCTGCTACTGGCACAGGTGCTGCCGTTACTGTTAGTCCTTGCATGTGCTATCTTCTGCTGTTGGCGGATTTCGGGGCGTCTTTCTGCAGTCTGTTTAGCTACAGTTGCTGCTGCTGCTGCGGTTTTCAGTGTCTGAGAAGGGCCTTTTCTTTTCTACCATCGCCACCATCGAGCGAATTGCGGACGACAGGTTCTCATGGCCGTAAACCCCAAGCACTGAGCTTTGAACATTCAATCTTAAAATTTCGTTCCTCTTACAGGGACTTCAGATGATGAAACCCTTATTAACAAGGAATACCCTCGCAAGTGGACTCTTCAGCATGGATAGCAGGGATATATTTGCTTTTTCCAATGTTGCTGCTGCTACCAGTTCCCCTGCTCCTGTCGCTGCTGTTGTTCCGAATGGCGCTGATTCCACTGCTGCTTCATCAGCATTTATATCGTTTTTGACCTTGCAGCTCGCTGGTTTTGCTTCTTTCCCTTGCCTTTGCTTTACTGCTGCCGCAGGGCATGCCCAGACTGTCGGAAGAAGATGCAGCAGATGCAAGAAGGTGACCCCTCTAGCATGTGGCAGTGCAGCAGCTGCAGCAAGCAATGTAACGAGCCTGTGCAGACATATCTGCTGAATATTACATTAGCAGACTGCAGCGGGAGCATTCGGGTTTCGGTCATAGGGGAGAAAGCTGAAGTGCTTATGGGCCCCATCAAGGCAGCGCAGCTTAGGGACATGCAAATCCAGCAGAGCCTCGACAACAGGGGACGCAGCTTCAATGATGTATTCGCAGACGCGTCCCTCACCGTAAAACTTGAGCCCTAAGTCCCTGTGCAGGAGTGTCTTGTCCTAACAACGAATGCAGTGAAGGTGCAGCTTGTTTGCTTTGTGGGCTCGCAGGCTGGGGATAAGGGTTACTCGGAAAGGCATGGGGGCTTCGATTGCGGGGTTGTTGTGGGATCTGCATTTGGTGTTCAGGAGTGGCTGTTGAAGTTGCGAGCTGCATCTGAGACATATCTGGACGAAAGCAGAATTAAGTTTCGAGTCATTGCTGCAGAGCCGCTGCAGCAGAGACTGAAGGAAGCGACCAGCGAAAACATAAGCATCACAGAGCGCATACTTAACAGCAAGCTAAAGTCCTAACAGACGCTACACTATAAACCGTAGGCCATAAACGTCCAAGGATCGTTTGTGGTCAAGAGTTCAAGGTCAAGCGCAAAACAGTGTAGCTATTGCAAGCTGTAATCAACCTTGAAATGCTCATATTTTAGGTTTTAGGTCTTCGCTTCCGCTTGCCGTACCCGTGCCCAGGCAGCCTTTGGAGAAATAGCAAGCTTATTGACTTGACCGGCCAGTATTGTTTGGATATGAACTGTAAGAACTGTAATTTCTCGCATATGAGTTTCGGCTCTTCTGCATCTACTCGTTCTTCACCGTCTGTTGGTTTGGTCATATGCGCTCCTTGTAGTGCAGTTTGCTAGCTGGCGACGACTCGCCAAACACTGCTGACTGTAGTGTCCAGATTTAGACTTCGTAGGTTTTTTTCTAGCTACAGGTAACTTGCTTGGGAAGATCAAGTCCCTCAAAAGGTGACCCGGGCGCCCTGAATGCCTGTACAATTTAGATAATGAGTATTAAATGGTGACTAGTGCCATGTTCGCCGAATAATGGGTGTTCTGCAAACACAAACTTGGAGTCTGGGAGACTCAAGAACACTAGGGGATGTGGAGAAAGGAACTGCCTTTTGATCTAGCTGAAAGAAACATTCTACCTGCTAAGTGGAACGGAGCCGAGGAGATTTAGGCGCAGCGTGCTCCTCCACAGACAGCATGCAACTTATTAGGATGCTGGGAACGGCATAAGCTTTTGACGTGCATGGCAGTGGGTGTACTTGTATTGAAGCAGGAGGGGGTGATGGCTTGTCTGATGCGACTCGCCCGAAGAGCCCTGGCGTGCAGGCGCAGGACCTGGTGGGGAGGAAGGGGAACGTGGAAGTGGACTTCGCTAGGAAAGTTCCCCGTTTCTTCCTGGCTGCTTTTGTTGTTTTAAGTTGAACTTTTTCGCGTATCGCGAAGCCACTGCAGGGTCGTATCTCCCATAATACCATTTTGTTCGCGGTCGCTCCTATACAGAAAGCTTTGCTCGACACTGCGGGAATAGCCGATCCGTGGCCAAGGCACCTTTTCTTCGTCGACTATCACACTTTCCTGATCCATCCAGGTAACGGTCACTTGCAAAGACGATGAGGTCGCTGAACGCAAATATGTTTCTACTTAGCTGCAAGGACAACTATCGTAATGTGTTTGGATGACAAAAGCAGGACTCTTCTTCGACCGGCAGCGCCACACCCGCACCCTTCGCTTTTCATTTAAGCTAGGCTTCATATCCTTAAGAGGGCGACTGCCCTTAGGCCAATATGTGTAGTGCGCGACCTGTTTGTTTTTTATGCTTGTGTGCCTTCCCCGCACTACGCCTAGCTGCCTCACTCTCACTTTGGAAAGTGGCGTTGGGTCCCGTAGACTGACGAGGAGGAAAGCGCCCGCCAGGTCACTGCACAATGTCTCCCGCAGGGTCATTCTACTGATTTTTAACAATATCACTCTAGCCACCATACGTTTCTCACAAAGCCAACTTACCTTCAAAAACACTAAGGACCCGTGGGCTTTCTGCAATCCATACGAAACGCTTCTACGCCACCTGGCGTCAGCGCAATCGAGTGCAGATGTGGCTATTGACAGTCAAGCTGCTCACTATCCTTTTCTCAACTGCTCCGATTCCTGGTGGTTTGCATGTGCTGGGTAGCTGCCTGTTAACTAGCCTTCACAAGGCCACAAACAATAAGGGCTGTGATGTCAGCAGGCTTTCTCACTACGAAGATTGCTTACCCAGCCAGAGAACACTCAAAACTTCTGATTAGCCATTGAGGCACCACACTACACAAGTAGGCCACCGCAACACCGCCCGCGTCATGGTTGGCCATCAAGAAATGCGTGGAAATGTCACTCAAAACACTTAGAAGAGTGACGCTCATGCAGAGTTGATATACTGAAATTATGTCCATTAAAATTGTATCTTGCTGCTGGGCGCGTTCTTAGGCGTTTCACGAGTATGTAGCACTACTCAGAAGGTCGCCTACCACATTCGAGGCAAACAAACTGTACTTGAGTCTGACTTTCCATCCTTATGTACTTTTTGTGTCTTTCTTCTTATCACCTTGTTCATCTTATGTGGCTGTGGTCTCGAGGCTTTTTTCCTTGTCCACCTTATTCTGACTGTCGGCTTGCCTGCCTCAGCGTCTCGATTTTATTTCTGTCCTATTAACCGGAAGAACAGAACCAAAAAAAGTTGAAGGAACTAGAGCCAGGCAAAACTGAAATCACACGCCGAAAGATGGATTGCAAATAGAAGAGGCCATCGACATGAAAAGCGGCGGCATTTTTCCGTAACCTTCGCTGTGCCACATTTTTGTTAATCCTCTTTTGTGGCACTACTTTGGCTTTGTTTTCTGTCCAGCCAGGCCAAAGCTTCACGCTTTTGTGCCTTGTCCTCCTGTTTCGTGGTACCGCAATTTCGGCATCGTCTCATTTTTGGCGCTGCCCTGTATTTTGTCTCCTATTTGAACCGAAGTACTACACGAGGAACAAAGGAAGAATCTTCTGTACCTGCGTTTTCGTTTCTGTTCTTGTTTGTTCCCTTCTAGATCTGTATTTATGCAGTTGCTATTTCCCGTTATTGCTTCTCACCAACACCTTGCTTCAGCTATTTCTGTATCTTTAATGTTGTGCCTTTTTTGGCTTTATAATTGCTCCTGCCCCCACACTTTCCAAGATTGTTGCTTTTGCCTTCACCTTACTGTTTCCCTCATCTTCGTCCTTGTTCCAGTGTGCACTTTTGGCTTTGCTTTCTCTGCATATTTTTTTGCGACTTGGGGCCCTTTAATACGTCCCTCTACTGTAATGTCTGTTCATTTATGTGTACACTTACGTGCAGTGATAGAGACGTATGCATGATTCACAACAGGCTGAACAAACGAGAAATTAATGTACGTGGATACAAAAGAGCGAGAATATAGTTGTAGGAGCACTTGCATATAATGCATGCAACATATGAACTTGCAAATACTTCAAGGCATACATGCATGTCTACACTAGCATGCACGCATGGACAAGTGCAAAAAAGGGTTGGGTTGCGTTTTGCTACAAACAAATATATTTGCACACACTCCAGACAAGCAATTGCATGCCTATATATATATATATATCCATTACGCCATCATACATGATTATGTCTTACACGTATCATACACATACGCTTGAGTGAGTCTACATATCTGCTTTCACATTTGTACATAAATTCGTATTTGCGTGGGAACTGTTCGGCAATGAGGACAGAACCAGCAAACCTAGCCTAGTGTGATTTGCTCGAACTGCATATGGTCACAGCCATAGTCCAGACCCACCTCCCTTGTAAATTGCATGCAAGACGTTTTGGTCTTACGCTATTCACAAAATGATATTGTCTTCTGCATCAGCCGGCCAGCAACGCATCGACAGCCTCAGCGCCAATGCCCACTTCCCCAATGGGGTTGCAGGCGCTGCTAGTGCACCTTTCTCTGGCCTCTGCTGCCATGCGAGCAGCGAGTGATGCAACTGGTGGCAGCAGCAAACGAAATACAGGCGACTCCAAAGCAGCAGCAGCAGCAGCAGCATCACCGTGCTTGAAAGCATCTACTGCGGCAGCACCGGCAGCAAACTCGGGGCTCCCTAGAAAGCTGCTACGCAGCGCCTGAATCAGCACAAACAGTCACTCTGAAGCATGACAAGTAAATCCTTCGACCAAAACAAACGCGGAGCCGTGTATTATGAACCAAGAATCAGCCGAAGCGCTTGCACCCTAAGACCAAAGTGAGACGGGCTAGAGCTCCACACAAGGATGCCTTCCCCGCAGTGCACTGCATGCTACTTCCCCCTTTCTCCGACGGCTTAGAACTCAGAGCTTGTGCATCTAAGTGTCTCCAGGCACTTCTAAGAGTGTAAGCACCTATTCAGGGCTGCTCATTGCGTTCAAGAGTTTTGAAAGGCTTCGCAGCAAGTGTCTAGCTTAAAATTTAGTATTCGGGCTCAGGGTCAAGATTTGAAGCTTGGACCTTCGAAGTTAGGGCTTAGCGCTTAGGTTTTGTTTCTGTGTTGTTTACTTCTTGTCCTGAGAGTGTTCTGTCTGCCATTGTGTACTGTTCGAGCGATAAAAAGAGAAGCACAGCAGAAAGAATTGACTTGTGTACCCCATTTAATTTATTCAATTCAAAAAGGCAATTGGCCCGCCTAAGAGAGACAGAAATGGCCTGTCGTATTTGTCCCATTCGGACGAGCATGCAAATGTAGTGTTTGTACACCTCAGCAGTTTCCTGCTGCTTTCCGCTGGCTGAACGTAAGTGCAGAGCATCCTCGTAAGCTGCTGCCGCTGCTTCTGCTGATTCTGGAGTTTTTTCCTTCTCTCGTGCAGCTGCTATGCGCAGCAGTAAACATACAGCAGCATCAGTTGATGCGGCTGATTTATAGTGTTTCACTGCCTCGCTGTAGCACTGAAGCCCCTCCTCGTATGCTGCTGCAGCGGACGCCGGGATTCCCCTTATGCTACTGCTCTTGCTGTTGCCGCTATCGCTGCTGGTGATGTTGGCGTTGCTGTTGATGCTGTTGTTGATATTGTTGTTCATGCTGTTGCTGGCGTTCCTGCTGTTACGTCGTGTTGCCTTTTTGTGCAAGACCAACAGGTCCCCCAGCTACAGCACACACGCCCGCAAACAAGGGCACAACGATATGAATGGAAAAAAGGCGAGAAATGGGCATAAAAAAAGGATAAGAGCCAAGGAGGCAAAAAACGGAGGGGCATGAAGATGTTCGTGAATTTATGTGCAAAAGTTGATCAGTCCATGCGACTAGACATTACTGAAAGAGCATACGCACATGCTTATGTTGGCGTGAGCGTGGAAATAGTCGGAACAACCTTAATAAGCATAGCCCACAGTACACCACCTTAAAACAATAAGCATACAAATGGCAACAATGGACAACAACAGTGGTGCTAATATTGATGTAACACAGATATTTGCTTGTCGTTTCACTCAGGTATGCAGCGGCAAAGAC